ATTCCTGCTCCTCGCAGTCGCCAGCGGTACAGATCCGCCGCCTGCCAGACGGCGAGTTTTCAATTGGCTCGACTTTTGTACCCTGACAAGGAGATAAGCTACTGAGACTGCGGCTTTTTCTTCCCAGCACCAGCAGCACGAGACAGCAATTCTGCACCAAGGATTAATAGGATCGACGCAGGAATGAGTTCTCCATCCTTCAACACAAATCGTATTGCCCATTTTTCTTTTTATTGCATTGCTGAAAAAAGCGTAGTTTTCAATTGGCTCGACTTTTGTACCCTGACAAGGAGATAAGCTACTGAGACTGCGGCTTTTTCTTCCCAGCACCAGCAGCACGAGACAGCAATTCTGCACCAAGGATTAATAGGATCGACGCAGGAATGAGTTCTCCATCCTTCAACACAAATCGTATTGCCCATTTTTCTTTTTATTGCATTGCTGAAAAAAGCGTGCCCCCCCCCCTTTAAACCAGTCAATATACTTACCAATGAGTATCCCATAGATCAACTGAGTGAGAGGCTGGTGTTTTAACCCTCTAAATGCTGTGTTAGGGATCCTTTCCATGATTCCTTCATAAAATATACGGCGCACCACCTCTTGATCGGAAGGATGAAATTCTCGTATATAAACGTTGTCTTTCTTGAAATCCTCTTCCACACCACTCCGAGAAGCTGGGGTGGGGGCAGGGGAGCCGGATAAGGAGGGCCACATCTGGGAGGAAGACACAATGATCGTATCTTTTTTGGATCCTGAAATTGATTCATGATCTTCCGCCACAATCTTAGTCTCACAAACCATTTTGGGAGACGAACAATGCATGCAAACTGGCCGAGAAACAAAAAGGAGCCCGGCTTTAAATAAGAAACAAAACACGCCAAGCAGTGACTGAGGAGCAGCTTTTATGAGTGCGAAACAAACGGAGCTGGGTGGAAAGCGAGAAAGGAGGGCCAGTGCATTTTGGAGAAGTATTTATAATGCAGCAGAGCCGGTGCAATTCGGAACCAGGGGGTCCCTCAGGGTCCTAGCGTCCTTTGTATTGGCTGGCCAGGGTCACCATGTGATCTCTAGGGGTGGGGAGGAGAAACACCTCCTTTGCCTTGCATTTTATTGCTAATTACTACAGCATGCATTTCATTTCCTTTTCGCCTTTTTAACTATCCAAGCCCTGCTGAGGTGAGATACTACGCAAATCTGTCAGAGATGGGCCTGGCTCCTCGTAGAGAGAGAGAGAGAAAATATGATTGACTTTAACAAGGGTTCCGAGGTTGACACGTTGCAAAGTTCACAGCATAAAATGTCTGGCATTTATTTGGAGTTCCTCTTGAAATCTACCTGCTACTTAAAGACTACCAATTCCCGTTTCTTTCAGTAAAATATATGTAGGAAAACCATACATAGATTGTTCTAGAAAGAGTGACTATCTAAAAAATATACATACACGCTGCATACATTTACGTGGGTATAGTTATATAGATTGTGTATACGCGCGCATCTCTAGCCGGTTATCTAAAATATTTGTCTAAAACTCCACTGATAGATACATTCCCATTCATTATTCGGTAGCATCGAATCTCATTAATGGTAAGTGGAAAACTTGAGATTAATTTGGTACTTATTCGTAGTGATGTGAAAGCGTTTCGAATTTTCTCTCAAACTACCTATAGTTTATAAGGCACGATGTGTGTTGTGTATTTGTTTTCTTTATAACGCCTTAGCGATAGGTTTGACAACCGAATGGCAACTTTGAATTTTCGATAGGCCACGCTCTGGTTTCTTAAGGCATTTGCTTACTTCTCAAAAAATGTAAATAAGAGCTTACTTCATTCCTTCTGGGGACCACATGCAGCTGTGGGGAGCGCGCTTTGCTCGAGTGGGAGAGCAAGTCACTCACCACTGCGGAGTTTCCGGGGGATTAACTCTTTCTTGCCTCCCTTCGTGCATTTTAAAGCACTCTCCACCCCCTCCCCTATTTCTAAAAATACGTCGCCTAGCTCCATAGAAGCAAACATCGGTCTGACACCCACGTGAACAATATTCAAAGCGATTTCGGTTTGGCAAACATTTCTTTCCTTGCCAAGTTCTTAGCGTCTGCGAGAAAACCAGAGGAAACGTTCGCAGTTGTGGTCACATAACGCCCCTCGCGCGCCAACACACACTTTTGGGTCGCGCTGAACTTTTTCTCCAGCGGGAATAGCCCCCCCGCCCCCTGCACTAAGGCGCTGCATTGTTCTTAGCCTGGCGTCAGGGACCCCACGGTAGCGCACGGGGGGCACCCCGCCAGATCTGCTGCAATGCTGAAGCGCCCTAAGCGCGCACCGCCAGAGCAGCGCGCTTTGCTCCGCTGGCTGCTCCACAGAGGGGCTCCCCGCGCGGGACACCCGCACGGGCTGGTCATTGGCTTCAGCCCCCATCCTCGGGCGCCTATGGAACTAGGGTTCGGCAAAGCCATTCAAACTGGCGGACCCGCCATCTCCAGCATCCCACAAGGAGCCGGGGTAGGGAAGGCGGCTGGAGGAGGGGCGCGGACCCGCAGGAGGAGGAGGACTTTAGTCTCCGCAGCGCCCAACAGCTCCGATCCCGGTTTAAACCGGCCGGGACAGCATCGCTTCGCTCCTCCTCCGGCTCCCTCCTCCGCTTGAAGCATGCGCCTTGCAGCTTCAGTGCAGGTAGCTGCTTAGCCCCTGGCCTGCGCGCCGCGTGGGCCCCCCCCCAAGGGG